TTTCTGAACTAGTTAATATATTTATGGCACCTGGTCTTCTATGTTTGGTTAAAAAGGTGCACTTCCCAATTCATGAGGTTGGTTCAAATCCTTCCCTTATTCTTAAATTGTATTTGTTCAAAAAAAAAAATTCAATATATTTATGAAAAGAAAAACATATTTTCAGCTTAATCATTAAATAATTTAATTAATTATTAATACAAAAATCAATTTAATTATTTTGTCGGGCATGCATCCAGCATCATCATTGTCATCCCCATCGTTGGCGGTTGTTTGCGTGATTCACTTACAAGTTCGATTTTGTGCAATTAGATTTTTAAAAAATGTTTTTCTGTTTTTTTCACAGATTAAGTGTTTTCTTTTGTTATAAATCTATATATGTATATATATATAATGCTATCTTAAATATTAAATAAAGTATGTATTTATTTAAAATATTATATTATATTTATTTTTTATCACTCTTTTTAAAATGTTACCTTATATAGTAATTATGGTGTGTATTTACGTAAAATATAATAAAATTTAAAAATCCTAATATAGTTAAAGATATTGGTTCATTTAACTTTTTTTTTTCTATGTAGCATGCTAATTAATTTCTCATGATATAAAAAGATGCAAGATTGTCTAAATAGTCTTTCCCTTTGTATTACCGTATGCATTAATTTTTTATGATAGATGAAATGTAATGTCGTTTAAAATCTATATCTATAATCAACATATATAGATAAAAAGCTACTTTATGCATTAATTAGGTTATTATTACTCAAAAATAAAAAAAATACATAGGATGAATTTATCTTAATGAATAATTAGAAATTCTTATTTTATTTTATAATGTATTGATTAAACATTAAATATTAGGATAATGATTGGTACATTCTCTGGTTCAATACATTGCATGACACACTCCGGTTCGTTTATTAAGAAACTAATATTTTCAAATTTGAATTTAAGGTAGAAAGATTTTCAAAGGCAAATTTTAAAAACTGAATCGAAGGGTGTTGCTAGATTAACTAAATCGAAGGGTGTTGCTAGATGTGTTAAATCGGAGGGTGCACCAATAATTTTCCTAAATATTATCATTTATATTTTTTTAAAAGAGAAATATACATTTTTATTAAAAAATAAAAAATTATATTAAATACTAAATAGTTTTTCTCCATACTCTTCCATCTACTTACATTTTCCTACTCACTTATATATAAATTCTCATTTTTTTCTATATCAATATATCATAAAAATAGTCCCAAAGATTAGAAGGAAAATTATCCCAAAACTACGTCATTTCAATAAATCATCATTGAAAAAGATTAAAATATCATATTTTTAAAACATGAATTAGAGTATTTTTTGTCTTTTCATATAATATTTTATTAAAATTACGTAATTTTGAAATAATTTTCTTCTTAATCATTAGAAGGTAAGGAGAATAAACACTAATCTCATATATCACATTCTCCTCTTTATTTTTCAATTTTGCTAATCTATTATATATAAATTCTCATTTTTTTTCTATATCAAA